ATAAATAACAACACATCTTTTCCTTCCTCATCTCTGAAATATTCAGCAACTGTTAAACCAGTTAAACCAACTCTAGCTCTAGCACCAGGGGGTTCATTCATTTATCCATAAATAAGAGCACATCTTGATCCACCACTTAAATTAATAACACCTGAAGCAACCATTTCATGATATAAATCATTTCCTTCTCTTGTTCTTTCTCCTACTCCAGCAAATACTGAATAACCACCATGAGCTTTAGCAACATTATTAATTAATTCTTAAATAAGCACAGTCTTTCCTACTCCTGCACCACCGAACAATCCAATTTTACCACCTCTAGCATATGGAGCCAATAAATCAACTACTTTAATACCAGTAATCAAGATTTCAGCACCACTACCTTAATCAACAAAACTTGGAGCTTCTCTGTGAATTGGGTATCTTATTTTTGTTTCAATTGGTCCTCTTTCATCAATTGGATCACCAATAACATTCATAATACGTCCCAATGTTTCAGGACCAACTGGAATTGTAATTGGACCTCCCAAATCTGATACTGGTTAACCACGAATAAGTCCTTCTGTTGAATCCATGGCAATAGTTCTCACTCTGCTATCACCTAAATGTTAAGCCACTTCCAATATTAATTTATGACTTGTTCCTTAAACTTACAAAGCATTCAAAATTGGTGGTAAAGGACCATCAAATTGGACATCCACAACTGCACCAATAACTTGAGCAATCTATCCAGTTGTTGCTGTTGCCTATTTTGTTTATGTTGATGCTTCCTTCTTTGCAGCAGAGAATGCTGTATAAAAATTACATTATTAAAAATACCTACACGCATCTATCTAGCTAATGCTTTTGTGAGCATTGTTATTTATTTTTTTTAATAAATTAAGGATATGTTTCTGATTCAAATTTTTAATTACATTATAATTATAGCAATAATAATAAAAGAAATCTAAAAACAAAAAATACAAATCTGTAATCAAACTTTATCTCAAAACTATGAAATTTATTTCTAGAATTTAAAACCTTGAAAAACCATTGCTTTTTTTATTCTCAATTCAAAATTGTTAACAATATACAAGATATTCATTTTTGTATTGTTATATTCAAAAATATTTTAACTATTCGATAATCAATAAAAATTGACCCTATATTTTAATGTTCTAAAGAAAAAAAAACAATCCTATAATTCTAAAAAAATTTTATTTCAAATTACTAAATTATAATCACAATTATTAGATATTTCTTTATTGAACTTCATAAAAGAATAATTTAAACTATTATAAATAGGTATAGTTTATTTTTGCACCATAGAATATAAATTATTAATAACTCCATTATTAAATGGAAACCCTAAATATTAAATATCGATATATTTATTCTTCAAACTTAATTTTTTTAAGTGATTTTACAATTTCATTAATTGCAAATATCAAATTTAATCTTTTAGTATAGATTAAAATAGATATTAAATTTTACCAAGTTTAATATTGAATTTAGATTTATTATTAGTTGTACAAATTTATGGTTTAAATTAAACTATGTTTGATTTAAAATTTTTATGAATATAGGGTTCATTATTTTTATATATAAGTTTCTTATATTATAATAAATAATGAAAACATTTTTTACAGAAGTAGACAGTAAGAGTGATTAATCACATTTGCGAGAAATAAATCACTTACTCATGAGGCTAAATTTAGAATCTCCACGTACATAGCTTGCCATGAAAGAACTTAATCTAACTAAATATGATTGCTAACTTAAGTAAAATAGTGCCCAATTTATCTTACAAGAACTTTGTCCAATTTTTTACACTATCATCATGAATCGCGAACCATGTACTTAAACCATTTATAATAACTCAAAGGTATTGAAATTATTATATAATTAAATTTAGATAATCTCTCGAATATAGTGCATCGTAGAAGAGAAATCATAGGTCCATCAGTAAAGATTGTATTAAGAACACCAAAATAATCTAAATAATATAACTTTGTTAAAAAAATTTTTGATCATGATCTCAAATAGCTATATTAATCGGAACTATAAATAAAAGAAGCATAATAAAGGAATACTGATAAAATTTATAAGCAAGTTGAAGAGAAATTGAAATCTATATCTCATAAAGCAAAGTAACATAATAGCAAAGTAGAACGAAAGTTATCTTTATTAAGAGAAAGAAGAAAACATGAACTTGATGATAGATTGAGTAAAAGTCTTGATTTCGATTCTAGATTTGAACCTATCTAGAAGACATTATAAGAATCTAAAATGAAATTTCAAATAATGATGTAATCCAAAACTCAATAAACTTTGGATTATCATAGACAAAAAAAGAAAAATATTATTGAATAAGATGAATTAAGAAGAACTAAATTACAATATTCCATGGAAACTTCACAAAGAAGCACTTTTATAAGATAAGGAATAGCTAGTCAAGATAGAATACATTAAGCTTAAATAATTGAATTAGAGTAATAGAATAAAGTCATTTAGAAGATAGGTAATCAAGTTGAAAAAGCTACATAAATGACTAATAAGAACTAGCAAGAAATATAAAAAGCACTTTAAAAATTTAAAGATGAATAAGATAGAAAATTTAATAAAGTACATAAAAATCTAAATTCAAAAACTTAGATGTAATCTTAAAGAGAAAGCTTGATTAATTAAGAATTATAAGAAAAAATAATGTTCACTAGTGCAAAAGCTAAATAAAGATTGGATGATATTCAAAATAAAATGAAATAGGTTACTATTTAAAAATAATAGAAATAATAAGAATTGTTGAATAAATATATTATCAAAATGGAGAGAAGAAATGATAGAATAATGGAAAAACATGTAAAACTTAGAGAAAATCTTAAAAAAGGGCACAAATCTAATAATATAACTTAATAATAACATCAGTTAGTGATTGAGAAAGATGAATTGAATTCTGATATTACAAAAGTCTAAAGATTGGTAGTCAGTAAATCAACTAAGAATATATAAGAATTACTCAATAATTTAAAATTCAATTGAATATTCATATATTTATAAATAATATCTTATTTCTTATTAAGTCTCAATATTATATTAGATTAATAATCATAATTCACAATTGAATATAATAATTCATTTAGAGGATTTCTAATATAAAACAAATGTTAAAAATCCAACTATGACAATTTCAAGATTAAATTTTTACATTTTTTTACTACTATAATACATGAAGCTGTAGTAGAACTTATTACTAAAGTTTCAATCAATCCAATTTTAGTATTAAGTTAATCCTTTAAAATGAATTTTGTCATTGAAGAAGCTAAAACTGTCGATGCTGTAATTTTGCAAACTATATCAAAGAATTTAAAGTTAATTAAATTATTGTTATTTTTTTCTTCTTTTTGTTATAATTCACTAATTACCAATTTGGAATCATTTGTTTATATTAATTTACTGTATTTTTGCCCTCATTTTGTTCCTAGTTGTTGCTGAACATTGTTTAATAAAGTTATGCACTATCTTTATTTGATTAATTTAACAGTTTCTTAATTTCTTTTCTTTTTTCAAAAATTTCTTAATCTTAAGAAGTGTTCTTTACTATATTCCAAGCTTAATCAATATTTCTCTATGCTTCTTCATAATCTTATTTTTATTAATATGCCAAAGCTCTTCTATACCAAACTTTTTGATTTTGAGGTTCAAGCTAAATAACCTATTATTTTTTAATATATTTACAATATTAGCATGTGAAATACATGAATTAGAATCACCAAGATTCAAAAAACAAGCACTTAAATTAGATAGTAAGTTTATACTTAATTTCTTAAATTATTATAGTTATTCTTCAGGACATTATAATAAATAATTTGGATCACATAATCCTAGAGCTAGATTATATTACTATATAGAGTTGCCAAAATTTTTTAATTAAAACCATTAATTTCCTTAATTTTTTAGGAAGGTTGCTTCATCTAAAGATTTTTAAAATTAAACTACAAGTTGTGATTTTTAATGAATTCGTGCTATTTATGGTGAAATTGGTAATTGAAAATTTTATAAAGTATTTTTGACAAATCTTTAGTTGATTCATCAATAATAGTACCTTCTTCAACTTATTTTTCTTCTTCTTCAATAACTTCTCTTTTATAAATATTACACTTTGTATCTTAATGAAATGATGGTTAAATTAATTCTGGTTCCATTTGATTTTATTCTTTTTTTAATATATTTAATGCTTAACGAAGTTTATCATCAAATTAGTGTTCATTTTTATCAGTTTCTTATTAATTTAACTATTAATTATTTGGATTATCAAAAAAAAAAAATTGAGACTAGTCTAAAAATTAATTTTCTACTTTTTATTATAATTGTAATTCCTAGAGTGGTTATGTGTTTGATTCATATACAGATTCAAAAAATTGTGAATTTCTTGAATCATTTTTTATTTTTTCTAAGTATTTGCATCCTTGTTTAGGTAATTAATTTAATTTGAAATTGGAATAGAATTTAAATTCTCAGAATTTTCTTCTTAGTGAATATTTGTGTAAATAGTTTAAGAATTTTTTTCAATTTCTAATTTATTTTAATTTTATTCTTCTTTTAGAATAAAATTTTAATTTTAGATATTAGTTAGAATTTCCTTATTTTAGTTATCATTAAGGGAATTGACATGGGTTTGGTTCAATTATTGTTCCACTCCTTCTTAATTTTAATCATTTTCATTCTAATTAGAAACCTTTAAATGTGATTAATCTTAATTAGAATCCATAAATAAAGTATAAATTTTAATAAAAATATTTCTAAATTCATATTGAATCATCAATCCCTTTTCATTGACTTAATTTGTTTCATCGAGATTGTTTAATCCAAACCAAGCATAATCAAGTATGATTTAAGGTTAAATTTTCATCTATTAAATAACAACTATCGGTTCACATAAAAATTCTCCGATTCTTGGACTATTTAAATATTTTAGCTTTTTAAATCAGTATAATTAATACTGATTAAACTAAGAGAATAATTAAGGAACCTTTATTAAATCCATTTAAGATAATAAATAATCTGATATTTACAAATTGAATAAAAGCTTTTAATAGTTAAAATTTAGAGACAATACTGAAATTTTCATAATTAGAATTCAAGATTTTAATATAATTTTAAGTCTTCTCATAAATTTACTAAATGATTCATTACATTTCAGTATCAAAGATATAATGAGCAGTATTTGTATCAAAGGCTTGAAATATCATTTTTGCATTATTAAAAGCCTCTGGATTCGTTGGTACATCTTCTGCTGTTACTAACCTCCAATCTATTTCTAAGTAATAAATTTTTTTATAACAATATAATGCAATTAAAGAGAGCACTATATTAATTATAAATAAGATGATTATCAATTATGTTGTAAGTCTATTCCATAATACTCCTATTATGATAAAGAGAATAACTATTGAGATGGCGAAAAACACTGTGCAATTACGATTATTCTTTCTTAAATGAAATCTAAAATTTCAGATTATGTGATACTTTTTATTTTTAATTTCAGTTTTAAAGAAATATAAACAAGAAGGACATTGTAAATTTGATATTGAAGATGAAGGTTTTTTCATCTAAGCAATAACACAATCGGGATGATATTATACGTCATCACATTTACATAATTTTATTTAGCAGCTTTTACGACAAATATAACATATTTTGGATTAAGTAAAAGGTTAATTTGTTACAAGTGTTAATTTAATTTTTTTATTCGATCTTATTGGTCTATAGATAGGAATAGATTCTAATTCCTTTACTTGATCTCCAAGTACAAACCTTCTTGATGATTTTAGGATTATTTCATCTTAGTTTGATGAAGTTGAATTCAACATATAAATAATTTAATAATCATAAATATTTATTTGAAGTTAAAATTTTCTTATTGGCAGAATAAGAGTTAGGGAAAAGTGTAAAAAATAATCATTAACTTATTTTTTTTTTTCGTATTTCATTATTACATAGCGAATATAATTAAATTAATATAATTGATAAAATATTAGAAATGATTGAATTAATTGAAATATTAATAATAATTGCTTGAAATTAAACTCTATATAGCAAAACATAACAATTAATTCAGACAGTTATTATGATATATTTCCATTATTTAATGGCATCAATCATCCATAAAAGTGAAGTATCATATTAATAGATAACTTTTTCGATAATATAAATAAATTCCTCAAATACACCCTCACTAATTTTAAGTCTAGAGTGTATAGCTTAAATATCAGATCTTTTAAAATATTTTCTACCAGATAGTAAATATTCAAATTTTTTGAGTATAGTCTTAGTGATATTAGCATCATTACTATCAAAAATATTTTTGATTTCAACATTTGATTATAATTCATCAGATATCAATGGAACAAATTCACAGAGTCTCTTTTCTCCTACAATATCGCAAGGTAATTTCTAATTAATAATATAGGGTAATATGAGATCAAATTCTTCTTCAAAATCTTAAAAGATAACTCTCTAAGGATTAAGCCTGATCAATAAGATTAATAGTTTATCTTTAATACTTTAATAAAGCTAAAGATTGATTTGATGTTAACAATGTAATTAGTTTAGATCTTCAAGAGTAAAACAATTATTTTATTTGTTAAAAGCATAATGTAAAAAATATTTGGTATGTTAAACAAATTGATCATATCCAACTTTATGGATAAAATTTTTATTAATAAAAGCATCGCTTTAACATAATTTTATGAATTCAGTACAAAAATTTTCAATTCCAAATTATTTATAAACTAAATCTTTAATACTATCTTAATCTATAACTGCAGCTTTATAAGCGTCAGTTTGTTCAAGAATATACCAAACAACCTCTTTTTCAGTATGTCTAGATAAGGCGCCTGATAAATAATATTTGAACACTGAATATTGGACAGAATTAATCTTAAACGCTTGATGAAAGTCTCTCATGGAATCCATAACATAATTAGTTGATTCAGATGATCCTAGAATGAATCCAAATATTCTGCTAAATTTGATAGCCTGTTCTTCTTATTTAGTTCCTTTAAATAAAGGACTCAAAGAAAAATCTTCAAAAATTTGAGCATACATATTTTTAGCAATAGTTCTGATATTATCTTTAACATTTTAAATAGAACGAGACTATTATTTAAATATGAAATATTGGATACATTGCAAATGATGGCTCCTCTATAACATTCTACTGTTTATGCACATTTAAATATTATTTCCATCGAAATTTTAATGTCAATTAATTTTTTGATATAAAGATATTTAAATCTATTAAACATTTCATCAGTTATATTGAGATCCTAATGTAATTATTTAAGGCTTTCAAAATGATATGGTAATTTATTTCCATTACTTAAATCAATTAATGCTTTAACAACTCCTTTCATTTCATGAAAATCTCCAATTATTGGTCCAATTAATTAATCTTAAGCTAGAACTTATCCAAATTCTTTTGTATAATCATCTAAGCCTTCCATTTTTTCAAATTCGCTATGTCTTGTAATTCCAGTTTTAGGTCTAAATAATATTTATAAGTTATATACTTTTTATCTTTAAATTAAGATAGAATATCTTTAATTGATTTTCCTGAGGAGAATGGACATTACTATTATTAAACAGAAGATTATGTTTATTATGATTATTGTATTAATTAAGTTTAATGATGATACTATGATTTTTTGAGAACAACAATACTACTGACTAAACTAGTGTTTTCATCTCTTGAAGTTTTTACACCTCCAGTAGATGATTTGACTTAATTCTTTACAGTGAATAATCTTTAGAAATGATGACTTGAACCTAGATCAAATTAATTGTTCTCTTCAATTTAAATGGTTTTATGTTTTTATTTTTTTTGTTATTAAGGAGTAAGTGGTTTTTAAGCAGTAGACAATCTTTCAGAATCTATAATACATCTTGCAGACCCTCCTTTTTTAATTTGCCAAAAATTACTAGGTTGTGTACAATCTAAAGAAGGTAATTTTTAAAATAAATGTTCTCTTCTTGAATTTTATCCATCTGAAATCTCTTTACTAGATTTGCTCATTAGAAATTAGCTATTTGCATTTTGTTTGAACTCATCAGAGTCTCCTCTAATCATAATAGAAAGATAATTATTTATTAAATTATTGTAAATTAGTAATAATATAATATCATCTGAGAAATAGGTTTTTACTAGAACACATTTCTTGTTTATCTTAATTGTTTTATTCTGTGCCTAGTCTCCAAAATATTAAAGTTTCATCTCCTGCTGCAGAACATAGCATAGATTAATCAGGAGATATTCCTAAATGTAATACTCTTGATTTATGAGCTTAAAGTTCTTAGACCAATTTGGCTTATTGAATTACTTCTGCATTCCAAATACTAATTTAGAATTTTGAAAAGCCATGTGATGAGATTAGTTCTCTATATCTTGGTAGAAATTATAAAGCACAAACTTATGAACCAGTGTCTATACTTTTAAAACATAATCCTGTATCAGAATTCCAAAATTTAATATTTTTATCATTAGATCCTCCTCCACTTACTAAAATATTAGGTAACCATGGACACCATGCCATAGCTTTAACAGCTGCACAATGACCTTCACATGATAAACGTAATGACATTTATCTTTTATCCCATAATAATAATTAATTATCGTTTGCTCCACTACTTAAAGTGGTTCCAGATGAATTCCATTTCAAACCACAAACTTCTTATGTGTGTTTCTAAAATACACCTACTACATTATTATTCTTCTCTCTTAAATCATGATTGAATATCACATTATCTCTACCAGATGTTGATAATAATTCAAAACTACTACTTATTGTTGATACTCTCTCATTATGATAATATAACTATGTTATTGTTTGTTGTGAACAAACATCAACTATCTTAATAGATGCATCATCAAATCCTACTCCTAAAATATGATCATTTATCCAATGAACTGCAGTAACATTTGATGTTGCTTATAAAAGTTATTCTATATGCTCTAATTTTTATTTATATTTTATTACAATTCGATGCATTCCATAAATATACTTTATTTTACAATCCCACTGATAACACATTATTATTACCCCATTCCAAAATATTTAGATAAAAGTCATCTGCAATATCTGGAGCATCTAATATTTTCTCAGGAACTGAACTTATTTATCTTACTGTCTATTAGATTGGCAATCTGTATTAATTATGTAACTAGTCCAAAAATGATATTGGATAATTGTGCTGTTATTTTTGATTTCCAAAATTTAACACTTTTTGCTCATTTATATGATACAATAACTACAATATTAAAATTAAGTACATCATTATAATTTGATTAAGTGTGCGATTGATACAACAATTTCGATTTACTTTTCGGAATAAATCTGTCCATATATATATCCGTTAAATTAATAATTATATATAAGAATAATATTGTTTGTTTTTGTTTCACATTCATATATTTACTTATATTATAAATTATATTTATTTTTTAATCTAACACATTTAATACTAAATGTCTTTAAATTTCAATCAAAATAACATCTTCTTCCTTAATTCTTAATTTAATTTAAATTAAGCAAATTATTAATAAAAAATATTAATTTTTATATATAAAAATGAGTAATGCAAAGTATTTACATATCAATACCTTTAGATCTGACGGTGAGAATTAAAAATTTATTATGGGTGATGAACCTTTGAGATTTCAAAATTATGTTGCTGGATAAGATGAACAACAAGGTATAAACATATTCAAATCTTAGTCCCATAATAAGATCAAAATTTAGAATACTATAATGAATATCTTAGACTATACATAGCTAATGTTGTCTTAACAAATTAAGTATTATATAGAATTTATATTAGTTAAAAGAACTTTTGAATGAAAAGAATGAACTAGTCAATAAATTAAATAAATTAGAAGTAATTTTTAATATCACCAAAATTCAAGCGTCGAAATTAAGAGCTTAACTCCAATGTTGAGGAAACTGGAGAAGAAAGAAAGAAAAGATTAAGAAGACCAGCATAAGAAATAGAAAGACATTTTACTTGTCCTGTTGAAAATTGCTAAAAAAAATATGGGTAAAACTTTTTAACAATTTAAATCTAGAGCTGAAGGATCTCTAAACTAACACATCAAACTTAAACATCCAGAATTAGTTAAGGATAGAACATTTTATAAATCTAATGAATAATCTCAATAATAAGGAGAACCTGAATCATTATCAGACCTTAAATAAGAATAAAATTAATGACAAATAATTAAAACAATATAAGTTATTTCAAACATACCTATAAATTTGAAACATTCAAAAAAAAATGTTCTTTATTTCTTTTTTTTTATAGCCTAATATTAATACTTTAAATTAAATTCAAATTATTTTATTCCTAATTTTTTTTTTCTTACATTTTGATATACATTACTCTCAATTTTTAAATATATAAGAATTAAACATTTATTAGTTGAATAAAATCTCAATCAAATGTAAAAAAAATTCTATCATAAAAACTTAAAAAACTAATTAAATTGAAGATTAGTTTGAGTATCCAAAACTTGAAACTCTGTTACTAACTCTTATGACTCTTATGGATTTTTATGATCAATTTGTATATAATTAATTAAATTCTTTAAAAAATTATTGTTATTTTTTATTATCTAATATATTTCATGAAGGGAATGAATTTTTTTTTAAAACACAATTAAATAAAATTTTATACAGATACAAAAAAGCTAATCATCAAATCAATTATAGAAAACTTCCAAAAATTATTATTCAAAATTTATTAAATCTATTAATATAACTTTATACTGTTTCATAATTTTCTCCTTATTACCTAATTAAAAGTCAGTCTAAGAATGCTGAATTAAATTTATAGAATGTTATCTGACGTAACTACTTTTCTTGAATAAAATTAGAAAAATCCAATATTAATTATTGATGACTCTATTTCATATAGTATTGATATTGATATAAAAGAAACAATTAAATAAAAAACGAATTATTTATAAAATTATGGCATAATTCAAATATTTGACGATTAGGGATAATGTTGAAGCAATAAGTTATAAAAATGACAAAATAAAAATATATTGAATTTCATAATAAAATTAAAAATTTTGCTTTGTCTAAAAAAATAGTATTAGAAATATTTTATCTATTAATTTATCAATTTTATTATGAATTAAAGTCCTACAAAATTTGATACACCAACAAAAATTCAATCGAAATTGGATCTTAAGATGAGAAAGAGCGGAGTGCCAGTTGCATTAAAAAGATCACCTTAATTTTATCTTTTAGATTGTTTTATGTTGGCATATTTTCATATTCCCTCATTCGCAGAAGAAATATTATAGTATGATGTATTAAAAACTTTAAAAAATAGGATTATATTATTAATGAAGAAGGAGTAACGTTGCTTTTACAAAAGTTATTTGTGTAGTTGATATTTTGTAAAAAAAAAGACACATCAGCAATTGATGTATATCAATTTATGAAGGATGATTATAACACAAGATATAAAAGTGTTGAAGAATTTTTAGTGAGATTTTTTGAGAAAGTAGATGAATCAATATCTAAATATAGAACAATGCTTAATGAATTTGTAGAAGAGCATCCAATAAGGGAATTGTTTATAGGAAAATTAATGAAAGGAAATGATGAAACAACATTTAATTTAATTAAGATTGATTTAGATAATGAATCAATAATAGAAGGATTATAAAAGAAATTTGAATTAGAAGATTGCTCAATTAAAGACTTACCAAAAATTTTATAATTTGAAATAACAAAAAAATAAAATTTAGTTATAATGCCTACTATATTTTTGGATTAATTTGTGCATTCAAATAAAGGAATGATAAAATAACATTAATCTGATATTAAAGAATTAATTATGAAGAGAGAAGAGATTATTTAAAAGATTAAAAATGTTGAAAATTATTAATAAACTTCATAAAGTATTCCTTAAATCTTATAAATGACTATAAATATTATATAAGAATAAAGAGAAGAATTAATTGATGGAGATCCAGCAATTGAAGGTTTTATATCTTTAATAATGGATGCTAATTAGGAATTAGAAATATTAAAAGAAGACTTAAATAAAATAGATGAAGAAATTAAATAAATTATGGGTAGTTTTAATAAAATAGAATATAATTTACATGCTGTAATTATTTATGATGGTGATTACGAATGTGTTTATATCAAGAATAATGAATAATGTTTTTTTTTTGAAGATGGATATGCAGAAATAAGAAAGGAATTTGAAATAGAAATTTAATATTCTCCAGAAAATCTTGTGTATTTAATATATAAGGATAAAAATTTATAGAGTGATTATAGTTTTACTGGTGGTTAAGGAAATCTATTAGATATGGATGATAAGAAATCATATGAATCATTAATTAGAAAAGATCTATAATAATATGCTGTTTAATTTAATCTAAAAGTTGATTAAGAATTATTATTCTTAAAATAATAATAATAAGCAGAAGAAGTATTTTAGTAATATTTAACAAGAATGAATATTGTATTAAATTTAATTTAGAAAAAACATTTGATTTAATTACCTCATCTAAATAATTTTGCTACTTTCTTAATTTATACTCAAAAGAAAATTGATGATTTTGTTAAATGGTAAATATTGGATTGTAGTATAAGAGATATTACAGGATAATCAATCTTAGATATCAAAAATATGAATGCATTTGCTTAAAAGTTAAGTGTTTTACTGTAAAATTAACCATAAAAATCACCAACTTAATTAACTGTAAATAAAAAAGATATGCAAATTATGTAAATAAAGTTGACTGATTATGTTTAATTTGCACAATGCACAAAAATCTTGGATTATTCTGTAGAATGTATTCTTTAAGAAAATTAATTGGCAGCATTAAATTCAATCAGATTTATTTATGATAATGGCTAAAAAAATATTATATATCAACTCAGTTAAGAAATATTAAAGGCATACATGGCTCATTTGGCTATTTTAACCTTTAAATTTCATTAATAATCATAATATCATTAATTATGGGATCACTTATAATGGATTATGACATATTGGCCATATATAAACTAACAAGATTTAGTTCATTAACAGATTTTTGTTATGATAAAAGACTTAAAGAAAAAAGCAAACAAAAAAGCCTTGAATTCTGACTAATAAAAAATTATTAAAAAATTTATATCTTCTGTATAGGACAAAAAACTTATAGATGTGGGAAGCAATTTCTTATTAAGATAAGATCATGTAATTATTTATTATTATCTATTTAGTTTTTAGAATCAATAGCAATAATTAATTGGAATTAGGATCATTATTACTGGTTACCTGATAAGTCAGAAGATGTGTCCTAGTAGTTGATGACAAAAATTTAATTGATCTAATAGTATCTTTAAATTGAATTTCAATTTGTTAAAAATATTATATAATAACAATGCACTTTTACTTATGATGAAAGGATTAAAATGACATTACATAGTTAATTATGATTTATTAATTTATACGTTTATTAAATTAAAATATTTTTTTTTAAATTATTTTAAAAGATTTTAATAGCGATAATCATATTTTTTATTGCAATAAGGAATGACATATTTGTATTCTATCATAAAATATTGTTGACTAATCATAGTAACTTTTCAACTTTGCTTTTGGATATTTTGATAATATCCATATATTTTTTAGAGTAAAAACTCCACAATCATGAGTATTCCTTTACTAAGGGCAATATCCAACTCTAAGTTCATATTCATGAAACTTTATTCTCTATGCAAGTTCAAGAATTTCATGAAATAATTAAGGATAATTACTTCTGGTCATACTGTCATATATAGTTACAACATATTATTCAAAGTCAATTTAAAATGTATACCAATGAACATTATTTTAATTAAAAGGAGCTAAAATATATTTTGTATTTTAATTTATCTTAGCCCTTGATGCGATTCTCTTAAATTTAATATCATCTGCTTTGATTAATAAATCAAATTAATAAGAGTTCAATATTACAGTACCATTATCGAAGTCTAATAGTTTTGTAAAATTATTTATAATCTAACGAAATATTCATTTTACTTACTTCATCATTTAACCAAACAAGTGGTTTTAATCTATAATACTATTGTGTTTTAAGAGCTGTTAAAACTTTTTTATAATCCGATTCACTTATCAACTTGTAAAACTCCTTTTATTTTTTTGTCAAAATTAAANTTAAAGGCATACATGGCTCATTTGGCTATTTTAACCTTTAAATTTCATTAATAATCATAATATCATTAATTATGGGATCACTTATAATGGATTATGACATATTGGCCATATATAAACTAACAAGATTTAGTTCATTAACAGATTTTTGTTATGATAAAAGACTTAAAGAAAAAAGCAAACAAAAAAGCCTTGAATTCTGACTAATAAAAAATTATTAAAAAATTTATATCTTCTGTATAGGACAAAAAACTTATAGATGTGGGAAGCAATTTCTTATTAAGATAAGATCATGTAATTATTTATTATTATCTATTTAGTTTTTAGAATCAATAGCAATAATTAATTGGAATTAGGATCATTATTACTGGTTACCTGATAAGTCAGAAGATGTGTCCTAGTAGTTGATGACAAAAATTTAATTGATCTAATAGTATCTTTAAATTGAATTTCAATTTGTTAAAAATATTATATAATAACAATGCACTTTTACTTATGATGAAAGGATTAAAATGACATTACATAGTTAATTATGATTTATTAATTTATACGTTTATTAAATTAAAATATTTTTTTTTAAATTATTTTAAAAGATTTTAATAGCGATAATCATATTTTTTATTGCAATAAGGAATGACATATTTGTATTCTATCATAAAATATTGTTGACTAATCATAGTAACTTTTCAACTTTGCTTTTGGATATTTTGATAATATCCATATATTTTTTAGAGTAAAAACTCCACAATCATGAGTATTCCTTTACTAAGGGCAATATCCAACTCTAAGTTCATATTCATGAAACTTTATTCTCTATGCAAGTTCAAGAATTTCATGAAATAATTAAGGATAATTACTTCTGGTCATACTGTCATATATAGTTACAACATATTATTCAAAGTCAATTTAAAATGTATACCAATGAACATTATTTTAATTAAAAGGAGCTAAAATATATTTTGTATTTTAATTTATCTTAGCCCTTGATGCGATTCTCTTAAATTTAATATCATCTGCTTTGATTAATAAATCAAATTAATAAGAGTTCAATATTACAGTACCATTATCGAAGTCTAATAGTTTTGTAAAATTATTTATAATCTAACGAAATATTCATTTTACTTACTTCATCATTTAACCAAACAAGTGGTTTTAATCTATAATACTATTGTGTTTTAAGAGCTGTTAAAACTTTTTTATAATCCGATTCACTTATCAACTTGTAAAACTCCTTTTATTTTTTTGTCAAAATTAAATACACTATATTAAAAATTTTTAATACCTTATTTTATTGCAATTTCATAATCTTCATTTACTTATGATATTTAATTTTCTTCAATTTTTATTTCAGACTTTTCTTCACTTTCCAATTAAAGTTCATCCAATTTTTTATTTATATCTTAGTATAAATCATCCATTTAATTAGTATCTTTTAGTTAATCTATTAAGCCTTATAAAGGATCAGGTGTTTTTATTAGACTTAAACACTTCTCCTTCAATTAAGTAACAATTCTTTAAATTCTTGACCAAATTTGCATGATAATTATAAAAAATATTTAAACATTATATACCTAATTTTTTTGGTAAATCTCTGAATTATTGTACTAATTTTTTTTGATCATTTCTAATATTTTATTTGGAAAGATCTTAAATTATATTCTTTCAATAATCTTCATATTTTTGTTTATTCAAGTAATAACCATTTTTGATAGTTTATTTGTATATTGATGAAAAAAAAAATTATTTCTTCTAATTTTTAATTTACTTTTAGAATTTAATGTATTATTTAAACTATTGTCATTAGTTATTTTCCTTAAACTAAAATATCTCTTCATTTTCTGTATAAAAAAAAATATATTAAATCTTAAATTATAATAATAATCAAATTAAATAGTCTGAAAATTATATGTTTCTTCAAAAATTACTTGTTTATAGAGAATAAATACTTTTCGAAGCCGATTTGAAAATAAAATATTATAATTATCTAATCAAATTGAAATATTGTTTATACAGAAAGTATCTAATAAAAAATAAATTAATGAAAATTTAATTATTAAAAAAAATTTTCATTTCTTATGCAATTTATATAAGTTTAAATAACAATCTGAAAATTACTTATTGAAACGAATCAGAAATTTTACAGAATTTAAAATGTAACAAATAAAATAAAAAATATCAATTCAGAAAGAGTTTATACTTAAATGATTAACAAAGCCCCGAAAGAAAGCAGCTTATCATCATAACTTTTATGGATTTATAAAATATAATATAAATTAAAATGAAAATTTTTCTCAAATTTCGAGAAAGAAATATGAATTTAATGATTGATAAATGCATAGAGAAAACAATCTCAAAATAATTATAGATCTATTTGATAATAAATTAATTCAGTCATAAAATAAATCTCTAAATTGTCCTTGAACCATGGTTATCACTTTTTTATAAAGTTAGAAATCAAAAGTTTAATCTAATTCTGTAAATTCTTTTGCTTCAAAAAATCCATCCTCATTTAATTTTCCTCTTATCTCTAAAAGAATATCTTCATTGCTTTCAGGAACTTCTTCAATCTCTGTAACTTTAACAATCGCTACATAATTTAAGTTTATTACTTCCATCTACAGAAAATTCGACATAATCTCCTTTGCTTTACAATAATTTTCCAACGAGTGTCACATATTAGCCTTTGAAATTCTATATCATGTCTGCATTTATTCTTTAATAACTAGTTGGAGTATCAGTCATAAATTTATTATTTAAATAAAAAAATGCGCTCACTTAAATTATTGAGAAATTCTGATACAAAATTTATATATATTTTATTTACCAAAACTACTTCAACCTAAAAAGAAAGAATAACTATAACAATTATTAGATGTTTAGATAATCTAAAATATTGATAAAAACTTTAAAGAATGCTTTTATATAAATTTTTATAAAGCAATGAAAAATATAATAGATAGTAAAATAAATAAAGTTTCTAATTGATTTTAAAATTAGTTACTATCTTTAATTATAAAATATAAACAATTACACATTTAGAAAATATATCTTTCTAATAATCCTAAAACCATAAATATATGAGGAATGCTGTTTAAAGTGAATTTAGATATCAAATATTAAGTATTTTATTTTTGCTGATTCTTATGTTAAATTTTTAAGGTTACATTTTATGAATTATTATTTTTTATCATCATTAACTTTTATCTCATCTCTATTTTTTATATATTTCTTTTTTAAGCAATACTAAATCTAAAAGATCTAAAACCAGAGTAATTAATTATTNAATAAAATATTATAATTATCTAATCAAATTGAAATATTGTTTATACAGAAAGTATCTAATAAAAAATAAATTAATGAAAATTTAATTATTAAAAAAAATTTTCATTTCTTATGCAATTTATATAAGTTTAAATAACAATCTGAAAATTACTTATTGAAACGAATCAGAAATTTTACAGAATTTAAAATGTAACAAATAAAATAAAAAATATCAATTCAGAAAGAGTTTATACTTAAATGATTAACAAAGCCCCGAAAGAAAGCAGCTTATCATCATAACTTTTATGGATTTATAAAATATAATATAAATTAAAATGAAAATTTTTCTCAAATTTCGAGAAAGAAATATGAATTTAATGATTGATAAATGCATAGAGAAAACAATCTCAAAATAATTATAGATCTATTTGATAATAAATTAATTCAGTCATAAAATAAATCTCTAAATTGTCCTTGAACCATGGTTATCACTTTTTTATAAAGTTAGAAATCAAAAGTTTAATCTAATTCTGTAAATTCTTTTGCTTCAAAAAATCCATCCTCATTTAATTTTCCTCTTATCTCTAAAAGAATATCTTCATTGCTTTCAGGAACTTCTTCAATCTCTGTAACTTTAACAATCGCTACATAATTTAAGTTTATTACTTCCATCTACAGAAAATTCGACATAATCTCCTTTGCTTTACAATAATTTTCCAACGAGTGTCACATATTAGCCTTTGAAATTCTATATCATGTCTGCATTTATTCTTTAATAACTAGTTGGAGTATCAGTCATAAATTTATTATTTAAATAAAAAAATGCGCTCACTTAAATTATTGAGAAATTCTGATACAAAATTTATATATATTTTATTTACCAAAACTACTTCAACCTAAAAAGAAAGAATAACTATAACAATTATTAGATGTTTAGATAATCTAAAATATTGATAAAAACTTTAAAGAATGCTTTTATATAAATTTTTATAAAGCAATGAAAAATATAATAGATAGTAAAATAAATAAAGTTTCTAATTGATTTTAAAATTAGTTACTATCTTTAATTATAAAATATAAACAATTACACATTTAGAAAATATATCTTTCTAATAATCCTAAAACCATAAATATATGAGGAATGCTGTTTAAAGTGAATTTAGATATCAAATATTAAGTATTTTATTTTTGCTGATTCTTATGTTAAATTTTTAAGGTTACATTTTATGAATTATTATTTTTTATCATCATTAACTTTTATCTCATCTCTATTTTTTATATATTTCTTTTTTAAGCAATACTAAATCTAAAAGATCTAAAACCAGAGTAATTAATTATTTTTTGAAATTCTTTCGTTTTTCTTATATAAATTACCCTAGAATTTATGTTTGTCAACTTTTTAATTCTAAGCTTAACTTCATAATTAGTATTTTAACTTGATTTGCTCAAATTATCTTTCTCTTTATGCTATTTTGTATTCTTCATCTTATTAAAAAATGCTTGATTAATTCTATTTATGATCTTTATTGTTTCTTCAGATTTTAATATGCTTTAGTTTTGTTTATTATTAAAAATATAACAAACTTGATCATTCTTTAAATATTATTTGATATTATTTAATATATAATAATTTTTCAATCGCTTTCGATTGTAAACATTCTCAATGTGCCTAAAGCAACACTTCCTAAGAATTAATAAAATTCTTCCTAGCAAATTTTATTTGTGATATACTTCTGTCTTGAATGAATCTTCTTATTATAAATGTCTTCTATAATTTCTGATTGGTCTAAGAACATTTCTTTCAAGTTTCCTATTAAATGGTGGAACAAATAAATATCCAATAGTAACTGCTCCTGCGGTTCCCAAAGCTATTTTTGCCAAAACCATCTTATTTATTTTAATATTTTAATAATAAATAATTAATCTCTATAAATAATTATAATAAAATAATATTAGAGTGTATTTCTTTTCTTTCAATCTAAATTTTCATTTTGAAATCTAAATAATATCAATTAAAAGCTAATCAGTTTTAGAAATGAAAAAAACCTTTAATGTTCTATTGATATAAGATAAGATGATATTGAGTCTATAAATAATTTTAAGAATTGATATTATTTTTATAATTTAATGTATTGTTTTAACAATTACAAGTAATCTAAACTTTAAAATATTGCATCTAACATTCACTTTATTTCTTTATTTTTCATCGTTTTTAATATTTAAGAAATAATTTTATTTAGAAATCAGCTAAGTACTGATAATTCTTATCATAAATTAAGGCTGTTTATATCTACCCTCTTCAAAATTTTAATCTAAGGAAATTTGCTTAGTTAAATTTATTTGTATATTAATTTTATTATACAAATAATTTAAATATTTAAAATATTTATTATTTCAAAATCAAACCTTTAAGTAAGAAATTAACATATATCTATTGTCCTTAAATTGAAGATTAATAATCCAAACATTAGACTATATGAAGACTATATTTTGAGAATCAATTTTAAAATACATAAATGATCAATAAATAGTATTATCTAAGGTATTGTATATAATAAATTTCTGTCAATATCTGAAAGTCAAGAATCATATTTGATAAAAATAATAAGAGAAATAAGTTATTAATGAATCCAACTTAAAAATGACTTTTCTCATTGAATTATCATATATAATAAATACAATATAATTAATGTGTATTAATCAATATAAATTATTTATTAATTAAAAATCTTTGTATGATAATTTTGATTAATATGCTTTTATTAATACACTTAAACTGGCCTTCATAATTGCCAGTTTAACTTTAAAATTATTTATTATATTATTTCAGCTTTATGCTATCTATTTATTCTGATTATTCAAGCCCTAAGTGTAAAAGTAAGAAAGATATTACTCTCGATAAAATAAATCGCAAAGCAATAACAAAATAAAAAAGGAAAACTCTATAAACGAAGAAAAAATCTGAACAATCTCTTAAATAAGCTTATCAAAATCAATAAATACTGAAATAATAGACTTATAGTATCAGCTAAATAAAAAATATAGGTCAATAGATAAGTTCAATTCAATGCAATCAAAGACCTTTGGGAAGATTATTTATTGATGAATTTACTATGAATTATATGATTTAGGAAAGGAAAATTACTCCTGAGTTTGTTGAATGTAAATTATAACCAACAAACTTTTTTGATGATGAAAATGAACTTCCAAAAATAATTGGTTTTTATTCACATGAATTATTACAATTTTAAAATAGTTTTCCAGTACAAACTTAGCAATTAAATGAAAGAAAAAAATTCGAAAACTCTCTATGCTCCCCTTATGAACGTATAAGCATATCGTCTTAAAATAGTAAATTAATCAAAATATCCAAAAAATGGAATTATGATTTCCTTCGAATGATGGGAATAAATCAATAAATTATTGATGATTATATATCTAATAATAATTTATTACCAAAATGTTGGGATTAATGTAAAATATTTTCAATAAATGGTGAGTCTTATTTTACCACAAATATCATAAATTACTAGGGGGAAAAATTCGTTTCTAATGTTCAAATAAAAAGATTTATAGAATATAATTAAAATGCATCCATTCGAGAGTAAGTCATTTATGCCATATTCTAATGTGAAAGGCAATTTCTAAGTGTGTAGAAAATTTAAGCAAATTTTTAACATTATTTTAATTTACAACAAATTCCTCCTGATTGTTATTTTTCAATCCATAAATCAAAAATTGTTAAGAGATGCTCATTTAGAAAAAAAGCTAATTGATTTAATATATGACTTATACACAGATTAATTTATGAAATTAATATATAATTTAGAAATTAAACTTTATTGTAAATTTATCAAAAAATTAGATTACTATTTTAGATTTTATAAATCATTCAATTTTAATTTTTTTGTTCTATTTCTCTCTCTGTTTATGTATGGTAAGTACTATGGTAAGATTATGAATAATAGTTAATAAAACTAGAGTCAATTGATACTTAAAATAAATTATTTATTTTAAATCAATTTAGATTAATATTTTAAAATATTGCTTTAAATTTCAAAATCTAGTTTTAATTCTATCATCCTAATCTTATCTTATATTTTTATTATATAGAATTGAATTAGAACTTCGAATAAAATATTTCAAATAAAATCTAGTTGCAAATTGAATTTTTAAATATACGCAATCCAAATTTTATTCAAAATACTTTTGCAAGTCAAAATTAAGAAAAATCTTGCCTATTTGAATAAAATAATTAAAATGTATTATGTTTCTTATAAGAAAACATATGTATGTATATTAATTTTATTTTTTTCATTGTATATTCAAAAAATAAACATTATAATAGGATAAAAGTTCTAATAGATTATTAGGATTAACTAGAATATCATACATATTTTCAATATTTGCTTAAATATAAGTTTGATTATTATTGATAATAGAATTTATCAATATAAGATAAATTACTTATGATATTTATTTTAACATTTAAGTAATAACAATTATAGCATAATTTAATTAATAACATTATCATGTTTGCAAATTTTATTATGTTTATTTTTAAAGTTTTATATTAATAAATATAAATGTTTTAATTGTGTACATGCATTTACAAATTTTCGAAATTAAAAGTTTTTGCTAATCAACTCACAAAATCAATAGATAATGCCTAAAAAAATGTTGCATTTGCTCATTTTCTACCTAAAAATTGGACTGAAAAGTAAGTAAAAGAATACTTTGATCCTCAGGATAAATTGATAAAAAGAAGTAGAAATAAAAAAAAATAATAGTTTAGCTGATTAAAGATTCCTTTGATAATCCCACTGGGAAAGCGATTATAGAAATGGAATCAGAATAAATTGCCCAAAAATTCATAAAAGAACATCATGAAAATTACATTGACACTAAAGATGTTTTATAATAAATAGTTGTTAAACCTTTTAGTTTGAAAAAAGAAAAAAATAAAATAGATATTAAAAGAAGCGATAAATAAGCTTATATTACAGGTTTGCCAAGATCAATGAAAAATGAGGATTTTCTAGATTTACTAATTGATTTTGGTGAGATAGAGAAAATACAGATTCCAAAAGATCCAAATTAGGATTTCAATAAGGGATATGCATTTGTCTTATTTAAAAAGGTTGAAGATGCATAAAAATTTTAGACATTTATGAATGGAAAAGAATTTATGGGAAAGAAATTAGGGTAAAAAAATAATTTATGATTAGAGTTTAACTAAAGCTTTTCAGATTTGATAGCTAAAAACAGAATTTTAAAAAAGAAAAGGTACAAGATGGAGATTTTCAATATGAATAAAATAAAGCTAATTATAGCAATTTATAAAAGTAATTTGAAATTGATTGAAAATGATACTAATTATTACATTTAAATAGTCATTATAATTACAAATATATTGTTTTATACAATTCTTAGTTTTTATTTTGATTAATATATTATAATATTTTAGAGATATAAATATAAATAGTTTTTTATTTGATTTGAATTCTACAATTTTAAGTTTTACTACTTTAATAAATGATGGTTTTCAAAAGAAGTTAACAATGTGTTTTAAAAAGTACTAAAGTTTAATCTAAGTTTAATTATTGAAAACATTTAAGTAAAATTTAAGATTTTTAAAGAAGTGAGAATCTCTTTTTGCAAAGTTTCTAATTATAAAATTAGATTAGTTGATTAAAAATAAATGAAAAATATAAGAAGAATTTCTAGATCTTAAAAGATTATAATAAAAAATATAAAATTAATGTCTAATTATTAATCAACCTTTTCTTTTCTTTATTTTTGTAAATGCAAAATTTGTATCAGAAGCAAGATAATCGAATTAAGAAATTTTAGAGTTACTTTTAGATTAGTTTAAAATAAACCTACTGGTTTTTTTATGTAATTAACCTGTTTCATCAATCATTTATTTATGCACTCCTTCTATATCATTTATAAGTTATTAAATTTTTTAGTTATAGTTTCTTTGAGATTTGGGTTCTGTTTTTATTTTGAATTGAGATTTATGAGCTCTCAACTCTAACCCCTAAATTTATTTAGAATGAGAATATTTTGATAATGAAGGATCTCTTTCAGATGTTATTGCAATATTGTGATTACTAATTGATTATCTAGGGGAAAGATGAATCAAAGAATATTTCTTATTAAAAATTCTCGTTGATTGTCTATTCAAATTTGCAATCATTCTTTTAGATTTCTCAGCAAATTGTTTGCTAACTAATTCATAATTAGGATGTTTTGTTTTGAATTCTAGAATTTCACTTTTACTTATTTTCTTATTTCCAACTGTTATCATTTCTGATTATTCTTTTTCTAAATGATTTATCAACTAATCAACATCCTCATAAAAATTATCAGAGTTATAATCTCCATTAACAAAAGTGTTTCTCTACTATTATTATATTTGTATTTCATTAGGTATTAGGGGATCCAATAATTTATTAGATGGCTTTACTATTTATTTAAGTATTGATTTAGCATCTATAAAGGTATCAAGTTTTGTGAATGGAGTTAAGAGATCATTAAATTTCTTTTCTTTATCACCAGCTAGTATTTTGAATTTTTGTAAATTTCTTTTTACTACAGAAGCTACTCTTTGTTACTCAAATTACATGTTCATATATAATAATCATAAATGTTTAATATTTACACCTCCTTTCTAATATGGATTTTAATTAGGATAAGTCATTTAGGAATCCAGTAAACCAATCAAAATACTAAAAATAAAGAAGTATTTATACTTATCTTCAAATTATTGTTTATTTTCAATATTTTTTGGTGGCATTTATGGAGGATGAGCTTTATTATTTATTTCAGGCTATAATTATTGAATAAGATCTTATAAAATTAATAATTGGTACTTTTGATAGGTATTTTCTTATTAGGAGCTCTTGCCCATTATATTTTACAAATAACATCTTTAATAATAATATTATTATAAAGACTATTGACTGCATTTTCAGCATCTTTTCTTTTAGCGAAATGTATAAAACAACTTTATCCATGTTCCATGATCTTAATTGAATTAACTTTTCCAAATTTAGAAAATAGAAATCTTTTATTTATTAATATATTACTTTAAGTCTGATTCTTTAATTTCTGTACTCATATGTGAAACATAAAGACTACAAATTTTAAGATCATCAGGAGTTGTTAATCCTTTAGGTTCGAACTTTTCTTAATAAAGTAAATCAACATCTAATGGATTTTCTATTGGTTCAGTATAAACTTGATTAGCTTTTTCTAATTATCCATTGTTCAATTATTAATTCACTTCTGCTAATCTTGGTTCTTTTAAGATTTAATCTAACATAGGTAAAGGTTTATCATATGGTAAAATTAATCTTTCTATTTATCTATTTGCTTATTCAGCCCAATAATCTCTGTTAGCTGTATGTTCAGGAATCTCAATCTTTTCATCTCCTAAAAATTTATCTCTTGTGCATAATCCCATATTTAAATCTAAATCTTTAAAACAAGCCTAACAAATATTTTTTATTTTTCCACAAGTTTAACATATTTCTGTCTATTTCTATCTTGAATTACTTCCTGGTTTCCATTTGAATGTTGTAAATGGTCTTGCACAAATTCGACACTCTCTTCCAAATCTATCTTTTAACTTTATTTTTTTATTAAATCATTAATGCTACCATTCTAATGTAAGGGTTCTCACCTAAACATACATTGCAAATTATTGGAAAATCAGTCTCTTCCCATGCCAATTTACTTATATCTTATTTTAAAGCATGTCCTCTTTCTGCCATTTTATTATTTATATAATTTAATTATATTATTTTCTTAAAATTTTATTGTTTAATATTACAAAGTATTCTCTTCATAACTTTTACTTTTAAACTTAAAAAAATATATTTATATATACATTTTTTTTTATTTTTAATTAATAATGGAATTTATGCTTGATTATTATTTTTATTACAGGTTTTATATTTATCATATCAAATAGATTTCTAATAACTACTAATGATTAAACTTAAAGAAAACAAATGCTTTAAAACAATTATAAATGCTTTCTGATTTCTACTTCATTTTTCTGGTTATATTTTTGGAGTAAAAGCATCTAATTAAGACCTACTACCATATTCTAAAAATCAATTTGCTATGGATTTATTCTAAGCACAATTTAAGCTAGCTATTATGGAACACCTAAATTAGATAGATTTTTATGTAGATAACAATAAAAATGAATTACACATATAATTATATCAGAAATTTGGTGAATATAAAGTAACATCATTACAATCATCTAAAAAATGTTATGTTTCTGATTCTCTTAACATAAGTGAATCTGTAGATTCCATTTAATCAGGATTCACAAAACTATCTTTATTTTAGAAACTAATTAAAACCTACTTTTTCAAAGGCAATTTATTTACACAATTTTGTTTGTTAATAATTATATCAAATTGTTACAATCTATTAACATAATTTTATAGTATCATCTAAAATGACTTTGATTCAACATTTTAAATGATATTATATGCATTGTTAATTATATCTTAACTAATACTTTCTATTTCTGCAAGAATTTCTTAAATGCTATATTTTAATGAAATTTCTTTTTTTGTTTTTGCAGAGTCATACAATTATTTTGCTAATTCTAAAAATTCATTTAATTATTATAATTTTCTATTCTATTCTGAAGTTATTGGTTCATCATATTTCAAAGTCCAACTCTTTTAATTTTATTTCTTAGGAATCAATTAATTAGTTTTCATATCATAAATTAATCCTTCATAAGCTTCTTAAATAGCACAAAAAGAACAGAAATATTATCTTTCTTGCTTTTCATTTACTTTATAAAATTTAGCTTTTTTATCTGCATGAATAATGCAAGAAATTGTTTATTAAATATTTCGAATACTTTATTGTCTTTATTTGATTATTTATTAGTACAATTCTTAAGTTTATATTTTATCAATCTTATTCTATTCTTCCTACTAAATTTGTTTTTATGGAGTAACATTGTTTGACTTATAGTTTAAACATTAATATGATTATTGTTATTATCTTGATCTGATATTTTGATTTAAAACATTTAAAATTGCTTGACTAGATTATATTTAAGAACTATTTGGTGATCTACTATGTTTACTCACATTCAAATTAATATGATCTGATTTTGTAGGAGTTTTGGTATATTTATAAATATTTTCTTTATGTCTTGTCGTTTTAATGGATGGTTAAATAAATGAAACATATGTCTATTTTTATTATCTACAAGATAATGGTTATTAAATTTCAATAGCAGAAGTTAGATTAGATAATTTAGGAATGAGTGGCTGCTTTTTGTATGCAGTTTTAATCATTTCGTTAATAATTTAAATAAATCAATAGTTCAGATATTAGTCACATCCAGTTTTACATATTGGGCATTTACGGCTTTTAGCTAACCAGAAATCTATACACTCACAATGGAAATAATGTACTAAAAGTAAATAAATGAATATAATTACGACAAGGTAAAGTTCTAACTATTTCTTCATCAGTATAATCCATTAAACAAATCATGCATTTACAAAAATCAGCATTTTCATTTTTACCTTTATCTTAAATCCATTTAAGATCTATTTTCCTTTCTGGAAATTTATTTATTATGTTTTAAGAGACTCCATCATGAATAATAGGTAACCATCTTTATGAATTAAACTAAATAATGAAATCAAATATTTACTAAAACAATTTCATCAAAATATCGAGGTAATGCAGTTAAATGAGGTTAATCTTCATGAATGAGAAGTGAAGTTTCACTTTATAATAATTATACATTATTATTGTCTGAATCAATAGATCGATCTAAAGAAGAATCATCTGAATAAGGCTATTCAGGTTATTATAGTCTAGATTATCTATTGGCTCCATGTTTATTAGAAATGAGTATATTTTTAAAAAAGACAGGTAAAGTCATCTATGATAATTTTTGATTTTATTCATGAAGCCCTATTCCTTAATAGGTTTCATCACTATCCATAAGATCACTTTCTAAATCATGAGATACTTCATCAATTTCTTTATGTAATTGCGAAAGGAATGTATTCGGAAATATTGGGAAATCATTAATAGATTAACTTCTACTACTTAAGTCCCTTGAAGAAAGTACAATTTAATTTTCCTTTTCATCATATTAACAATAGTTTTCCATCATACTGTATAACTTCTTTCTTTTCTAAACAAATTAATTTCTTGATGCTGTTTTATCTTATAATATTTTAAGTGTATTAATCTAAACTTAAAGTCCTCCTGTTTCTTCATCCTCATCATTCATTGATTTAAATGTAAATTATTCATTATCAAATAATTAGATACGAGTTTGATTATCAATAAATCCTTTCTTAGGTTTACATGATTTAATTATAAAATCTACTTCTTTTATTTTTAATCTAGATCCTTCTCGAACATATCTTGGGATCATAAAATAAGGTTATATGTAATTCATAAGTAATTCTTATTTATTAGGTTCCTACTAATTTAATATAATAATCTAGATTTCTTATAATGTTGGTTTTCCAGAGTTAACTATTCTACATTCCTATTCCAATAGCATAATAAATTACAGTTTATTATCGAAATATTCCATCTTCAGGTTAACATCTAATAACCTGCATAAGTAATCCATCAATAATCAATTATTAATCTTAACTTATATGTTAGTTAATTGGAAGTCTGGTAATATGTTCTTTCTTCTCTTCTGATAGATTAAGAAATTAAACTTATTATAAAGTTTTATTATTGCTCAAATCTCCTGGATAACATAGTATTGAAGTAGTATCTCCAACATGACCATTAAGTGGATTCAATAAAAAAACCTTAAATGGATTACCACCTATCATTATTGTCTGTCCTAATTTCAAAGCTCTATTTTTTAAACTATCATAGAGTTATTTCTCTAATAATTGCATTTGATTTTATCGATCATACTAAAATACAACAGTTTGAAACTATTAAGTATTTATTACAAAGTTTTATTCGCTTTGTCTTATTAATTGCATGTCTTATACAAACATACTTTAATATATTATATATAAATTTCATTATCCTAAGCACAATTTAAACCATTAGTTCTCTCCATCTGCTAATGATTATTCAAATTATTCTTATTACTTTTGATTTCTCAATTTAGATCTATCATTACTCTTTTTCAAACGAGATTATATCTTAAATTCCCAATCATTATTTGAAGTTTAAATCTAAATTATTTTCATTTAATCTTACTCTTTAATTCTCAAATTGCTCTTATTCTGATAATTTTGCAAGTCGATTTTGTTTCTTCATATTATATTTCATAATTTATCTCTTATATTCACTTTCTACTGGAATTAAAGCTCTTTCTAATGTTAATTTTATTTATTATCTTTCATCTTACAATTTATCACTAAAAAACAAAGTTAAAAATTAATCTACAGTCATATTCTATGAAAATGCTGCCTCTGTTTCTGGTGAATTTGATCTTTAATTTTTTTAATCTTCTTAATCAAAACATTTTAAACTTTTGCTTGATTTTCTTAACATCTATGGATAAAAAAAACTTATCAATTAATCATTTTACAATAGCTTACTTACATACTTTCTATTATCTTCTATTGATGATATATCATATTTTAAAATCTTTATAATCAAAAGAGGTAAACCAAAATGATCTTTATGTTAAATCAATCTTTACAATAAATAAGCCATGCAATGTGATTCTTTAAAATTTCTACTATTACATAATTAAGCAAATGGTATTCCTGATAAAATATCCATCAATTATTATGGTTCCATTTTATATTTAATTATTTGTAATGCCAAATTATCTCTAAATTCAAATAAATTCAACTACTTTAATACTGATCGTATTTCTGGTGAATTTTTAGATGCCATCAAATTAATTATTTAAAATAATAAAATATCTATTTCCTCATTAAAACCAACTAACTCTTCAAAATTTTTTACTAAAAAGTCAAAGTTTTTTAAAAAGATTACATGATCATTCTTTATTACAGGATTCTAAAACAAATCTTTTAAATAATCTATTAATATATGAGATGCATCATCATGCCTCTTTAAAATATCAATTATCTTCAATTTGTTTGATTTACTTAAATCATATTAAATTATTGTTCTAATTATTTTATAAGTTTGCTATTCTATTTTTTTATCAGAATTTTCCAACAATAAACATAAACTTTATATTATATTTGAATCTAGCAAAGTTGCCAAATTTTAATTATCTAAAATTGATTCAAATATTTTCAAAATTTCATATATGTAATTTTGAGATTTATTTTTAACTAACATCATAAAGAAGAGTTCTAAAGATTCTAAATTTGTTATATGTTAAATAGGTTGTTAATTTTCTAAATACAACTTCTATGTTTTTTAAATTATTTCAGCAAATTCACTTCTTCCCATAACTGAAGAAACATTACTGCTATTTTCTGTATAAAGTAAATGATAACTATCAAAATTCCAAAACACAAGTTTGTAAACTGTATTACATAATTAATTTGAAAACTCATCACCATTAATAAGTTTTTGTATCAATTAAAATAATTTCTATTTATTGCTATAAATTGGATTCTAATTATTTTAAGAATAAATACTTTTATCTTATTGCTTTTAGCATTCAATAAATACAAAATATTAGATAATTTAATACTTTATTCTTTAGTTGTTTCATATTATAATGTAGCAAAAGAATTTGTTAAATATTCTCCATTTATCATTTTATCAAATACTTTATCTTAAAACATACTATGAATTGACAATAAGCTTAAAATATCGCTCATAGTAGCTCCATAGTTTTATTCATTTAATTTCTTAATTATTTCCCCTGAAAATATAAAGTCAAACAGCTATTCTAAATCTACTTTGTTTAAGTACATTTCTATATATTATATTAATACAGGATATAAATTAACCATATCATAATATGATGGTAAATTCTTGCAGATTGAAATAAGCATATTTACTACTAAATCTTAATTTTTAAATTCATATTACTTTAAAAACTATATAAGGTTTTCAATAACAAGTGTATTTTCATCTCGTAATTTAATTTTGAAAAAGAAGTGGGATATACATTATAAATATTAAGAATTTAATTTAGAAATATCTATTAGAAATTCTAATAAAGGGGTTATTGGATTTTGAGGTTATTATTCTAAATTATTCCACATTTCATATTAGGAATAGATTAAGTATAAAATCATTTAAGGTTCTATTTTTAAATCATTATGTCTCATAATTCCTGCAAGAGAATTAAATAACACTTAATTCAAACGAAATTATAAATGAGCAATAGCTAAATTACTTTTTTCATTATATTCAAAATCAAATAGTTCTAGAATCTACTTACTTTAAATTAATTTAAGATATGGTTTAATTAAATTCATAAATTATTCACATCTATTTTAACTAACCATATTTTTAAATATATCAACTTCCTGTTTTTATATATTATGATCACATACTAAAAATGAATTGATAATTTCCACAATTTATATAAAAAAAACATAATTAGATTAATCTTTTGCATCTTACATATTATTTTGTTTAGCTTACAAGAATGTATGATATATTTAATCAAAAATGATACTAAAATTACGAAATGCCAATTCACTTTAATGATCAAATGAATTCATATATCTGCATTTTTTATTCATTTTCATTTCTATCATTTTGAAAGCAAAACCAACTATTTATTTAAATTTTTCAATATCATCAATAAATAATATGGCTAATTAACTTTAGATAGCTTCAAATTCAAGGCTATAAAATCCTTCTAATTAATTTAATTATTCATAAAGTTAAAATAATTATAAGCATATTTCATCAGTCTGTTAAAATTTGACTTTGACTAAAATATTTTTAAAATTTGTAAACATATACTCATTATCAATGTTACAGAATTTTTCAGAAATTTATTCTGATGATAAATATTGTCTCATTTAAATTATTGCCAAATAATAATACAATTTTAATCTTTTTGCAATAATCACATTTTTCCAATTTTAATTTAAGACTTCAACAATAATATTAAGGATTGTATCCTATTAAATAGGTAATAATTCAAGCATTAAAGTAAATGCATCTAAATCATCTATTTCATTTTCAGTTGTTGATATTTATTTTAAGAAATTATAAAATTGTTGTTAAAATTCTTCATCTTATTAATCCTTATTACTAATAAAATCACTAAGTAATTAATAACCATTAACTCTTTTAAATTCAATTTTATTTCTTGCATTATTTTAAAGGATTTATTAAATCGTTTATAACAAATCAACTTAAACTTCAGAAGTAGCTTTTTCAAGTGTTTCTAAGATGGCTTTAAACCCTCCTTAAAGTACTTAAAATTCCTTAAGTATATCTTCAGATTAAGATCTTTCTGATTATGGTTATGATAAAACAAGTTTATCTGGAGGAGTATTATTTATGCTAATAATTTTTTCATAAATTTCATTCTTGTTTTAATCCTAATCTGAAGTAGATCTAGTAATTGATTAAGAGTTCATATAAAAACTTAGATCAACTTCAAATATAGATTATAAACTAATTTATTATTCAATAGCTTATGATAAAGTTAAGATTTCCTTCTTTTCCACACAAAATTACTTTATGCATAATTATTTATTAATTTAAGGTGGCAGAAACACTTTTGAGAGTTCTACAATAATATAGAATTTTGATAATAACCTTGAAATGCAAATGATCGTAATGAACCTGCTATTTTACTAAACTTTTATTTAATTGTTTATTCTTGACTGTCTTCTACATTGCAAATTACAACTTGATTTATGTCTTCTATAAGTAAAAAATGTAATAGGGCTTTAGATATAACACGATTAAGTTATGGATCCTTATTCATTAATATTGAGAGTAACTTGTGGAATCCTTATTATTCAAAAAATTCAATTCTTTAATTGAGATTCTCTGAAAATAAAACCTTTATTAGAAAAAAACATATACAATCAATTTAATGATAAGAACTTTTGATTCTGTCTTCTATGCTTTCTCAATTAAATTTAAGAAATCAGATAAGACATTATGTGAGTTTTCCACACTTTTTCTATACTTTGGTTCTCTTAAAATTTATTCTGCTAATTAAATACATTATTCCATTATATCTTGGACCAATTGCCCTTAGTCTGCGTTTCTAAAGATTAGGTTAAAAAATATAACCTTTTTTAGATTTCTGGAAATTTATTCAAATAATCTAGTATTACAACCAACACTTAATTAGCATCACCTAAGATCAGTTCTAAATGTTGATCATTACTTTTAAAAAAATTCTTTATTGTTATGTTAGCTTGCTCAAGAAATTGTTAGAATCTTTTAACAAATAATAAATTACTTTTTGAGTGTTTATGGATCATCAGATAAATTTGAAACTTTCTTATAATCCTCCCATAGATCTTTCAGTCTTTTTTATAAGGTATAGTTTTTCCATTTTTATTTAATAGTGTCCATAATTTATATAAATAATTAATTCTATATATATATAACTTGTAAATTAATCAAATTAGTTAATAAATTAGCAAATTATTTCATATTTTGTTTGAAAAACAATATATTAGATTATAATAAATTTTATTTCTTTTAACATTAAGAATGTAATAATATAGAGATCCTGTTTATGGGATTAATGGAAGATCTACATATGATCAATTAAGATATCCTTAAATGACAAATTAAGACATTAATACTTAATATACTTAAAAACCCTTGAATACAGAATATGGAAGAGAATTGCCTATGTAATTTGGATAAGCCCCTGCAAGAGCTTATGCATAAGAAGTAAAGATTAAATTTATATTTAGTTTTAATTATCACCAGAAATTTAAGCATTGAATAAATAATAACAATTTGTTTAGCCTACTCAAAGTACTCCTATTTTATAAAATGTTGTTCAACCTTAACCTATATATTAAGAAATTCAACATTATGATAATCCAGTTAAAGTTGTACCTCGAATTGATATTGAAGAACCTTGGAGAAGTATAATTAAATTTTTAACATAGATAAATGTACTTTTCTCGAAAAATAAATATATGATCTTTAATAAGAAAATTTTAAATTGAAACAATAAAATATTGCATCTGAAAAAATTAGTTATTTTGAAGATACAGGAAGAGTGAATCAATTGATGCAAGAAATGGATAGACTTAATAAAACTATTTTAGATTTGAATTCAGAAATTGATTAATGGAGATTTAGATATTCAAGTTTAGAGGATCAATTAAAAACTAGATCTAATGTTGAATTGGAAATTGAAAAAATGAAAAGAGCTGTTTAAGATAATGAAAATATTGTTTAAGTTGAAATGAATAGATTAAGAGAAAAATTGGATGAATAGTAAAGAAAATGCCAATCTCTTGAATCTTATAGTTATGAAGCTTAAAACTTTTTAGCCAAATCTAGAACTAAAGATCAAAATATATGTAATTGTTAAGAATTAATTTTTTATAGTTAATCTATAATCAGATTTAAAAAAAGCAGAACTTAATTTAAAGTTAAAATAAGATGATTTAGATACTGTTTAATAAAAATTAAATAGAATGGAAAAAATAGTTTAAGAAAATGAATTCTCAAACCTAGAAATTTCTAAGTATGATTTTAAATAAATCTTTTTTAGTCTAAGAAAAATTATTGATGATAGAAATAAAGAAATTGAAATTTTGAGAAGGTAAAGTCAAGCATAAACTGTTAATTAAAATCTAAAAGATTTAGAAAACAAGGTTTCGCTATTTTAAAATGAATGCAATAGATTAAATTAATTGTTAAATCATAAAGAATAGGAGCTTTAATTATATAGAGATTAATTAAAAAGATAATCTCATTATAGTAATAAATAATGACTTAAATTTAATCAATTTTATAAATTTTCATATGTATTCAATCAATGGTTTAATTTTGCTTCTCTGACAAACAATTTATATTTACTTAATATAAATGTTCTTATAATAAACATTCCTGTTGCTACTAAAACAATATGAGCAATTGTCATTTTAAGTTAATCATTATTATTATCTTATTTTTTTTGAATTCCTAATAATTAATTCACTTTTGGATTTTATAATGCAAATCCACTAAATTTCCATAATCCAAATTAAGCAGATGCAAACTTTTATTAATAAATATAATTTACAATCAATAACAGACAATGCCACCCAGTAATGAATCTATTATTAAATTGATGCTTTTTCAAATCTATCTTATCTGTTAAAACATCAATATTATTTTAAATTCCTCCATCATGAAAGTTTCCAATAAAATATCTAATTATCGATCTTCTACCATCTTCTACAGCTCCTAAAAATGTTCTTTTTCCTTTCTTAGTAGAATCTGTCTTTAAAGCTCCTGTCCCAGTATAAAGTAATGAAATTGTATCTGCATTCAATGTCCAAATATCTCTGAATATTTATTCTAATTTATCTGGAAAAGGTTCCATTGCTTAGTTCTAAAATAACATTTTGAATATTTTACAGTGCTTCTTCTTATTCCTAATTTTTATAATGTGTTCCAAAGTTAATGTCTTGCAATAACAGATTAAACAACATTTGTTCTATCTAAACAATCAACACAATTAGTTCGAATAATGCATTTCTAAGTAGTCATTACATTAATTATATTTAATTAAGATGTTCCTTATTTCAAATCAAAACTGAATTGATCTTCTTATTTTAAATCAGAAGCCATCATATTTATTAGTTTTGATAAATTTTAGTATTTCATTCCTCTACATTCATGATGAAAATCAAACCAAATATATTTTAAATTATCATTTTTTAATCTATTTACAACTTCATTATAATAATTTCCTAAAACATTTTATGTTCCTTTTTTATCAATTAAATTAACAAGAATATGTCTTTGAATTCCTAATTAAAATTAATCAGAAAAATGTTTTTAAGCTATTTCAGTATTTGTAGTAATATCTCCTAAAATTTTAGCTTTTGGTGCCCATTTTAAATCTGGTTTTTATATCCATTTAAAAGGCATTGAACCTCTTGATTATAAAAATGAAAAATAATTTGATTAATATCTAAATATTTATTCTGTTTCTGCACAATTACTACAATTACCATCTAAATCAGCTCCTCTACTAATGAATCTTCTACCCATTCTTCTCTTATCTCTTCTACTAATTAAACATAATTAACAATCTATGTCATTTAATTTGAAATATTTAATAGCAATTAATCCAGAAATAAATATTGGTATCCATTATTCTGGATTACATAAACGAAAGGGTTTAGAATTCTCACTGTTCACCCAAAATTAAGATAATGGTTTACGAACTCCTTTATTTTCTATATATCTTTACAAAGAATTTGTAAGATCATACTATTCAGAATAATAAAAGGTTTTCGTATTAAATATCTCCTGAAGACCTGCAATATATTAGGCATCTTAAGAACTTATTCTTGATTTTATTAATTTCATATTACTTTTTATCTTCTATAGGAATGAATTAGAATTTCTCTGCTTAAAAAATTGGTAAATTCATAATTGAACTTATGGATGAAGCTTTTATTACGACAACCAAATAATTCAATTATCTTAAAGTTATTATTCCATAAATTGCATTGAATTCTAAACAATTTGATTATTATAGATTAACATCTTAAAATTTTTACCTTAATTATACATCAATTTATCCATTTTAAGATTTAATAATCAATTCTTTATCATTATCATTGAATCGAATAAATAATCCATCCTGTCTATATAATTATTTTTTTTGACCATAGATTTAAGAAGCATCAGCCATCTTTAATAATTAAGATTTTTATGATAATAATAAAATTAATTTGATATAAATAAATTGCCTGAATAATATTTATTTATTTAAATTCATGACACTATTAATAAAGATAGGATGAAAACAATGATTGTATGAGCTTAATTCTATATCATTGTTTCTTTAATTGAGCATTAACATACTCCATCAATACATCTTTCACAAATTCCCTTTGAAATATAAAAACTAAATAATTATAAATAGTACCCATAAGTACATTTGAGACAAATGTTTGAATCAACACATCTCTCACAACCAGTTCCACATCCTTAACATGAGAATCCATTAAAAAAATAAGCTGTAGCACATTAATCACATTAATCTTTTCCAGAACATGATAAACAATTAGGAATACACTCTGAACAAATACCATTTTTAATATAATTTCCATTTTCGCATTTAAGACATGTAGTTTCATTTTAAGTGTTACATTTTTCAATTTTGTTAGCCATGCAAACTCCATTTTTAATAAAATATCCTGGTTTACATTCAACACAACGTCCTGGAGAATCACATTATTTACAATTAACATCACAAGGAATACAAGTAGAATTAAGTAAATAAAATTTAGTTTCACATTAAGTGCATTTAGTTATATCTTCTAATTAACAACTTATACAATTAATATCTGGACAACCAAGACATTAATTATCAGCAGTTAAGATATATCCTTTTTAGCAATCAACACATTTATTTTCAGAACATTTTTTACAATTAGGAGTACAAAATTCACAAAGTTTGTTTTCCTTCAATACATAAGCTTCTTCACAACTAGTACATGTAAAATCATCATCACATGTTAAACATCCAGTTGGACATTTTATACATTATTCACCAACTAAATAATATCTATCAATGCAAGTATCACAAACAAATAATTGTTCTTCTACTTAAGTACAACTCTTGCATCCATATGGACAATCTTTACAAACTATTTAATTTATTATTAATCATTTTTCTTACTTCCTTTTTCTATATAGAAAGCATCTGAACATTATGAACAATAATCTGCTATTGAACATGATTCACAATTATCTCCACATTTCTTACAACTACCATCATCTTATTTTAAATATCCTTTCTCACATTTAGAACATTTAGAAAATAATCCATCTGGTTCACATACTTCACAATTTACCTATCCATTATAATTTTTAGTACTGGACATCTTATGCAAGTTGATGTTGTTGAATTAAATCTATATCTATCTTCACATTCATTGCATAATTATGGATCACAACAACTTTTACATCCTTTTTAACATGTAAGACAAAATTATAAATCTTAGTATTTATATAAGTATTCTGTTTTTTAACAGGCTCCATTTATAGCCAAATATTAACCTTGAACTCCAATTAACAATAACAATGCTATCATTATATATTATTTTTATATTTTGTTTTAATTTATTATCAAATCATTAAGCATCCTTTAAAATTAATACAAAAACTATTCAACATCACTCTAAACTCATTTTTAATACTATTAATTAAATTCTTATCAAAAATTATCACTAGATTATAATTTATATATATCAAAAAATATTAATTATATGCCATAAATATTCAAACTTGTGATAATGATGATAAATAAATACCTGAAAAGTATCAGTTTATTCTAATCATAATAAATACTTAAATAATCCTAAAATATTTAATTTGATGTAATCTTAATAGAATTTTCATCTCTATCAACCTAATATTGTATAAGAATCCTTAACTAATTGTACATGTCTAACTGAAACTAGATAAATTTCACAATATTATTTTAAATTAATGATAAAGACGAAATATAAGAAGAAAAAATATAAATTAAATAATCTACTAGAAATTGTATTTAATTATTTTATATTAGTATTATCTATCAGATAGTTGAGAGATAGCCATTCAAAATTATTAAAAAATTAATCAATAAAAACTATTTCCAAATAATATGGGAAGTAATATAAATATTTATTAAACATGTTTTACGACAGAAAAAAAACTTGAATCATGAAAGGAACAGAAAAGTAAAAGTGTTTAGAGTAAAATTAATGAAAGAGTTAAATCAATTAGACATAATTAAATAAATAAATTATGAAATAAAATATCTAAAGATTTATTCCTAGTTAAATTGGTAAGGCAAGAATGCCTTAATAACAGTTGTAAAAATAAGAGGAGTTTTCGAAAAAGTTTAATCGTGGTTAATCTGCCGAAAATAAAATTAGCAACAAAGCACAGTAATTCTTATTTATTAAATCTAGAATAGAAATGATATCAAATCTAACACTCCAGAAATAAATAAGATATAAAATAATAACTATAGTCCAATAGTAAAATAGGCAGATATTCAAAAACCTTAAAAATAAAAAAATATGATTCAATAGATATCTAAAGTTCCAATTACTAGTCGATTACAGAAAAATTAATCCATAGTGAATGAATTAGATTAATAAAAAAATAGATCACATTCATAATTTAAATTTACAAGAGAAATAACTCCTACTAAGAAGTAGCCAATAATTCAATAATAATAACTTTAGAGAGCGAGTTTAAAAAATTAAACTATAATTAATTAATAAAAGTTGCCTTAAGAAAAATTAAAAAATAGCGTAAAACATGTTGAAGCGAATAAAATAGAATAAAGAGGAAAAATCTAACAAAATGAAAAATTAAAAGAAGAATAAAAAATCATTCAAAAATAACCATAAAAAAAGCTAAATCAAAAAAAAGAATAAAATCCTAAACTATAAAATGAGAAACAACCATAACATGAGAAACCACCATAAATATAATCACCAAGATAAATTTCATCAAGATAATCATTTTCTCCTTAAAATCAAATTGGAAAGACACCCAACATGACACGAGGTCACTCCCCTTCTAATTTTTAGAATGATACTTTAAATGGAAAGCTTTAAGCACTTTTAGTAATCTTTATATTATATTAGACTGTGGTTAGGCCTATTTTTAAAGAGGCAAAATACTATCTGACTTCTGTGATACATTTTTTGAGAGAATAATATTATCCTAATACCTCTCCTTATTAAGTTCAATTTAAGATAGAATTTCAAGACTAAAAAGATTATTTTAAAAATAAATTCTGTGATCACTTTAATGTTACTTATAATTCTTTAAAACATTGTTCTTAATTGAATTTAAAGAAACAATTTAATACTAAGTTTTTAAATCCTCCAAAAAAGCCTAATTTTTCATCTGATAACATTAAAACTCTAATTTTTGATCTTGATGAAACATTAATTCATACAGTTGAGATTAATAATCCAACAGATTATAAAGTAATAATCCATATTCCAAATGAATAAGAATCAGAAGTATATTAATCTAAATTTAATTAGGTTCGATTTAATATAAGGCCACATTGTTAATAAATGTTGAAAGTTTTATCAGAATTTTATGAATTGATATTATTTACAGCTTCATACAGAGAGTATGCTGATAAAATATTAGAATATATTGATCCAAAATCAAATCTTTTTTCATATAGATTTTATAGAGAAAGCTGTTTAGAGATAGAAGAAGAGTTTTTAATTAAAGATCTCAGAGTTATTGAAGGTCGAAAATTAGAAGTAAATTATATTAAGATAATTAGAATATGGCCATAATTGATAATAATGCATATTCATACTATTTTTAATTAGATAATGGAATTCCAATTATTCCTTTTGAAGAAAATAAACAAGATAAAGAATTAATCTTTATGACAGACTATCTTATTAAATGTGAAAAGTAAAAAAATTGGCTCCAATATCATTAATTGCACTTTCAAAACTAATTATACCTCAAATGTTCTACAATCGAAGAGTGTATAGAAAAATTATTATAAACATAAAATTAATGATTTTAATTTATGGATTTATTTTTAAATAAACCTGCTGAAGCGCCACAAAGGTAATACATTCGTCTTTTCGTAAATACAGGACATAAATAGTTTATAGCTACTGTAGATCGAACTTAATAAGTATTTAAGTGTTTTATTCAATAGAATCTGGAAGTTTAGATTGCAAATTCGTTTGTATATACTTAGAGAGAAGATCCTGATAATGAAGAAATCTAGCAATTCTAAGTAAAAAATATAAAATAAAATGGCTATTTGGTTGTGATTCCAAAACAAATGTAAATTGGACATGTTCTTGATGATCAAACCTTCATTACATGTGATATTATAGAACCAAAAAAAAAGTCATAAGTTAAAATTGAATAAATTGAAGGTTCTAAAAGAAGAAATAAACATTAAAAAGAATAAAATAAATTAGTCCAAAATTTACCAGATATTTCTCCTCCTAGAACTCTTCCATAATAACAAGATGATAAATAAACAAATAAATAATCATAAAATAATTAAAAATAATAATAATAATAATAATAATAATAGTAATAATAATAATAATAGTAATAATAATAGCAATAATAATAATAACAATAACCAAAAGATAAAGAATAGTTAACTAAAAAATAGTAAAAACAATAAAACAAAATTAATAAATAAGCAATAGAAGATGAAAAAAATAAGTAATCAGCTGTAAATGCTCCAGAATTGTTTTAAAATGAGAACACTAAAGAAATCAAGGAAAATAAAGAAATCAAAATTAAAGAGACTAAAGAATCAAAAGATAATTAAACTAATAAAGATTAAATCTAAGAAGAAATAAAACAACATGAATAATCTTGTATTAAAGATAATCAAGATTTAACTGAAGGAGTAGGAAAAAAAGAAATAAAAGATGCAACCAATTAGAATAGAGAAAGAAGCAAAGATTAAAAAGAAACCATTTAAAACACTGAACACAATGTAGGATAACAACAAAAGGATGTATAAAAAAAAGAAAAACAATAAAATTAAACTTAATCTTTAATACAATAAAAACCCCAGGAAAACTAATAAACAAAAGTTTTACCTTAATAAAAATAAGATCTAGAAGAAGATAATAATTTTGGGACTAAAAAACATCCAAAAATTACTCAATCTAATGATGATCAAATATATCAATAATAAAATCAAGATAAAGCAAAACAAGATAAATAAACCTAGAATGCTTAACAATAAAGATAAAACGAAATAGAAAAATAGAAACAAACCAAATAAAACAAATAATAACAATAATAATAATAATAGCAATAAGTAAATTAGTAAAGTTAAAAATAATAATAATAATCAGTTCAATAAAAATAAAATTAATAGACAAAGAAAGTCAATAAAATAATAAAAACAGGATATGATTCCGATGAAAATTCTGATGATTAGCAATAATAGAAGGCAAAAATTGTTTAAAATTAAAAATAACTTAAGAAAAACGATAAAAAATAGAGCATTGACTTTGATAATAATTTGTTTGAAAATTGCTGAAAAATACCCCAATTATATTACCTTCCTTTTTAGTTTTATATTAGTTATCAATAATTAAAGATTTTCACATAATTTTTGTTACATTTTCTTTATTCTCTATATAAAAATGATTTTCTACTATACTATTATCTTAGTTGAAATAATTATAGTTATATTAATATTATATTTAAATAGAGGTTATAACTTCTAATTATAATAATCTTCAACCTTTTTAATGGCACTTTAAATTTGATATTTCTGTTGCGATAATGCCGAATTTCATTGCTGTCATAAAATACACAATAAATGATA